AAAAAAAAAAAAAAGAATGGAAGAAGAAGGAGTGCACAGCTATGCAGCCAGGGTGGGGGGCATCTTTTGAGGTGCCCCAAGTGTCAAGTGCAGAAGACCCTAGATGGGAAGGAGCCAGAGTGTCTGCAGCTGAGCACACAGAGGAGGGGGTCGCAGGTCACAGGTGGCAGGGCAGGACAGCAGGGCAGGCAGGCTCTGTCAGTGCCTCCCAGGCTTAGGGGGAGAGAGTTTGGGTTTTGTCAAAGGGCGCAGGAGAGGTTTAAGTGCAGGTCTGACGTGCTCCAACTTGTATCCTTAAAAGATCCCTTTGGCTGCTGAGTTTGGCTACTTTGCTGAGGTGTGCCTTTTGCTGGGGTACAGCGGGCCAGTATGCAAAGATGGGGAGGGGTCTCGGGCCACAGGGGTACAGCAGAGTTGGAGGCAAGTATGTGGGTTTGGAACCACTGAAGAAGGGACAGGACAGTGAAGGTTGTGAGCAGATTATGAAAAGAAGGTCAACACCCAGTGCCCAAACATCCGGCCACCAGCCCTGCTGGGATGCCGCTGCCCCTACCTTGACCAAGATGATCACGTGATTGGAAAAAAGGCTGCCACATCATCTGCTGACCTGTGCCCTGAGCCCTTTATCTGGGCTCCCTGTAACTCCCCTACCCCCAACTCCTTTGAGTTCCTCTGAAAAGGTTCTGGGGGGAGGCGTGAGCAGCACTTCGCAGAGGACAAGGCCCTTCCTTTACCATGCCCAAAGCTGCAGGGAGGCCTCTTACCCAGGCTCCCAAAGATCGCACCCCCTCCATGGTAGAAGATGATACCCCTCCGGAGTCTAGAGGACGCTGCCTTGGGCTGGAACAGCCTCACGGGTATAGTCCCAAAGCGCAGATTGGTGACCACAAGCGCAGGGTCCTTCTTTATTCTTACTCTGTCATGTAGAAAGCGGAAAAATTTGGGCATGGAGCAAATCCCCAGCTTCTCAAATATATTCCCCTGTTGAAGGTAAGAGAAAGAAAAACAGACGTCAGCTGAGGTGAAGAGCTGGCTGGTGGGTGTTCCCAGCAGGCAACAGTACTGGAGGGTCCCGCCATCTCCTGCCGGCATTGACGTGATTAAAGCCTATTGTCCATGGCAGCTTGCTGGAGGGCCCTTTCTGGCTGGCTCCATGCTGAACACTTCTCCTGCCTGAGATGACAGACAGGGCAGAGTCCCTGTGTCAAGACACCACTCTGGGTTGGGAAGATGCCTAGGCCTCATTCCTACTCAACAGAGAGGAATGATGGGATCATTTAGGGACGTCTGCCATGAGCTCGGGCTGTGGGAGCAGCAGGCTCCAGGTCCACACATCTGCCACGTGTGTTTTTACACCACTGTGCTCATCCTAATCACACACAAGCAAACAGCTGAATAGGCCCCGGGTGACAGTTATGCAAAGTCATACTGCACAGACTGAGTCCATTTCAGCCACCTGGGATGCTGTCTCCCACAGACCTCACGTTAGAAGTGTGTCCTTGTCATAAGGAAAACAACCTGGGCTGGTGATAATGAAAATAACAAGAACGGCTGATACTTATTAGACACCTCCAATGTTCCAGAGCTGGCCCACGTGGTTTGGATTATAAGCTTGCTTAAACTTCTCAATAACCCTTATTAAGTCAAGCACAACTATCAGCTCCATTTTACAGAAGGGAAACAGGGCCACGCCAAGGTCAAGTTCCTTGTTTAGGGCACAAGATGCAGCTCTTGTGTTCTCAGCCACTAAACTAGAAAGGGCTTGGGTTTGGGAGTCATGCAGAGCTGAACTCAAGCCCAAGCCCTCCCACCAACTAACTAAAAAACCAGAAGCATTACTGGCTTCAATTTCAGATGTTTTATAAACTGAGTAGAATGCTGACACAGGTCTGAGAATGAGGCATGAGGAATGCACGTGGCCACCCACGTGGAGTGTCTCCCTGGAGGGTCCTGGCAAGTGTCAGCCCCACCCCTTTCTCTTGCTTGCGCCCACTGGGTCTTGTCCCAGATCTGGTGTGTCCCCTCCATGGAGAGATTCCCCCTAACCTCCAAAAGAGAACTCCAAACAACACAATTATTTTCCAGCTTGAGTTGCAGGAGTGTGAGGTGACCTGCTTTTCCCACCACCGGACATACATCTGAGAACCCCCAGGCCTTCATGCCTGACATACAGAGAGGTGAGGTAAATGGTACAAGATCACACAGCGAGTGGGTGGCAGAGCTGGGATGCACACTCAGGCAGTGTGGCTGCAGTTCCTGATCCTTTTCCCTCTGCCCTGGTGTCCAAACTAAGTGTGGCCTCCTCAGCCTACAGCTGCCCTCACCTGCCCTCAGCCTGAGCCTGTTTGGTCTCCATAAGGTCTCTGCCCAGCGTTGGGACACTGGAATTAACTCAAGTTGCCTGCCTCCTACAGGGCATCAAACCACTGTTTCCAAATGTGCTGTAACTCTGGGTTGGATTCCCCCCACCTGTCCTTAACAAGCAGTAAGTGCCTACCAGGAGCCGACCCTGTGCTTGCGGGGCTAGACTTAACAGAGGTGAATAAAGCAATCCCTGCCTTCAAGGCGCTTGTAATCCATGCAGGGAAAAAAAAAAACAAACACCAAGGTGAAAGATTCCCCCAAACTGAAGGAAATCAGGCCATAAGCCCTTGGGAGGCAAAGGCTAGATCTGAAATTGTTTTCGAAATTGCCAATTTGGCACTTGGCAATTGTTTGATACAGAAGGAAGAAAGGGAGGGAGTTGGGAGGGTGGGAGAGAGAAGGGAAGGAAGGAGGGCAGGGGAGAAGAAGGGAAGGAAACAGAATAGCAGAGGGAGAGGAAGAGGGAGGGGAGGGAGCAAAGTCTGCCCTGCCAGAGTCAGAAGAGAGAGAAGGAAGGGTGAGAAAGAGGGGCCCCAATTATGGTGCGTGTTGAGTAGACTCACCAAAGTTATCACATACAGGAACATACAGTGCAGAAATCGAAACTTGGCAGGATGTTGTATGGCAGAGGGGATGTCTGTAGTGCGGAAATGTTCAAAGACAGTCCAGACAAGGACTCCGAGGAAAAAGGCAGGCAGCGCCAGAAACAGCACCAGCCCCAGGAAGGCCATGTTCCCAGGGCCGTGAGGAGCTGCTGCCAGAGGAACCGCCTGGAATCTTGTGTAAGGAGGACCACGTGTATTATACAGATGCCTCCTCCTCCCCACTCTTTGACCATGCTGACACAGTGGCCTGACCTGACTTCTTAGATGCAAGCACCAGGTGGCCAATGGTAGCCAGAGGAACCTGTTTCCCTGAGGAATGCAGGGACTGGGAAAACCACGCCTGCCCACCAACCCCTGGGAGGTAGACTTCCCAAAGAGTGAAGATTGGAGGGAACCAGGCTCCAAGGGCACCTCGGCTCCTGGGGATCCAGGAGAGAGGTCTTCCAGGATTACACAGGCCTCCGCAGGTTCCTTTGATTGTCGGGTAGGAGCTGCAGCCAGCCTTCCTCACCAGGCTCTGGTTATGGTGGGCAAGGAGCATCTTGGTCCCGGCTCCTTACTTAGCTGCCCCAACCCCGTTAATAAATCCAGGCCACAGCAGGAAAGGCAGAGTAGTCAAGTGGTTAAGAGGATCAACTCAGACCCTAGCCCAGCTGGGTTTACATTCTGCCTTTTCCTTTTGTTTTGTTTTGTTTTGTGTTTGTTTAAGACAGAGTCTCACTCCGTGCCCTGGGTAGAGTGTCATGGCATCATAGCTCACAGTAACCTCAAACTCTCGGGCTCAAGTGATCCTCCTGCCATAGGCACCCATCACCACACTCAGCTAGTTTTTCTATTTTTAGTAGAGACAGGGTCTCCCTCTTGCTCAGGCTGGTCTCAAATTCCTGAGCTCAAGCAATCCACCCACCTCGGCCCCCCAGAGTGCTAGGATTACAGGTGTAAGTCACTATGCCTGGCCAAATCCTGCCTTTTCTGAATATTGGTTCCTGAGATAAGTTCTCTGAACCTCACTTTCCTCATCTGCAAGGAGGAGACCAGTATAGTACCTAACTGAGGGGTAAGTACTTACAAATACTTACTTTTAAGTAAATACTTCTCAAGAACTGGCACGTAGTAAGTACAAGTGTTTGTTAAAATACATAAAATTCTTAAGCTTGATGTCTATTTTCCAAAATCGTTCTGATCATTTCTTTCTCTCCTGGAAGAAAGAAATGTGGACCAAAAAATGTCCCCCAACTGGCCGTTGGCACCATTTTTGAAGGAGCATGAGCCTGGATGAAGTCCAGGTCTGCTTGTGATGGCATCCCTCCCTCTCAGTCCAGGGCTCCAGAGGATCATTACTAGAAGAAAGCATCCAAATCTTCTCCAGGGGACTTCTGAGTTGTCTGGCCAAACCCTGGTCTGGCCAAACCCTGGTCTGGCCAGAGGCCCAGAGCATGCAGAGGCGGTGGGAAGCAGGGCAGGCTCCAGCAGATGGATTTTATGTGAGGTACATATCCAGAGTTGAGTTGAGATTTGCTAGGAAGAGAGTACAGACTGTTCCTCTTGTTCCGTTTACTTATTCATTTGTCCAACTGCCATTAGAAAGTACATAATATCAAGTTTACCATCTTAACTGTTTTAAGTGTACAGCGCAGTAAGGTTAACTAGATGTACCTTCTTGTGCAACAGATCTCTAAATGTTTTCTTTTCTTTTCTTCTTTTTTTTTTTTTTTA